TTTTAAACAAAAAATTATGAGCCAAAAATAATATAAATTTATATTTATAATAATAATATTAAATATTAATATATAAAAGTATTATAATAAAACATCTATATTTTTTAATTACATATGCATATAGATATCCATATCAAAAGATATTAAAGACTAACTCTATAAATCTGACTAATTTTCCTTTTTTTATTAATATCAAATTATACAAATAAAGCATGAATAAAATAACAAAACTTTATAATTAATAATTATTAACAAAAAAACCAAGAAACTATAGAAAACTCATATAGTATTATAATTCGTCCAAAATAAACTTATTTAAAAACATATATTTAATAAAATAAATATTATCTAAAAATAAACTTTAAAAAACATTATATATATGTTAAATGTTAGTAATAACTATAATTTCCAAAACTATGAATATATTATGACAAATCTGCTTACTACCAAGAGCTAAAAAATTTACAATAAATCAACATAAAAATACAACATTTAACTTATAGTTTAATAATAATTATTTATTATTTTTACTCTCTTTTACTAAAAATTGATATAAATTACATTATTTTAAAGTATTTAAGTTCTTTTAATGATATTGTCCGCTAAATTGATTGCAATCATGTTATCATTGTAAAATATTATTAACTTTATTACTTTAAATTGTTTATTCTTAATTTATTTCATCATAATATTACACTTCATCTCAACAGAATTACAAGATAGTTCCATATCATGAAAACAAAGTATTATAAAAAATAGTTTCAAGATTTTCCTAAAATCTAAAAACACAAAAATAAAACCTGAAATTCATAAACATTAAAAAACATAATAAATGAATAAAAAATTCTTATAATACAAAAAAAGGTTTTATATAATATTCAATATTTAGTTTACTAGATTTATTATTTAACATAACAATTCCTTAAAACATAATACACTTTTTAACATATTTTATCAACCAAATGATTATATCTAATAATATAAACTTCATAATAACAATATTTAGCAAATTATATATATGCAAAACAAATATATATCTAGACTACCAAAAGAAATAAAAAAGGAATATAAACATTAATAATGATAACAAAAAATTTAAATTAACATTATCATTAAAAAACATTCTCTTAAAAATTACTTTATCCTATTATAGATAAAAAATAAATTATAAAAATAAAACCAAATAACTCCAAACTCTTATAAATAATATCAAATTAATGATTTTCATATTTTTATTTTTGATATTTTAATTACTATATCAAAATATATCAGAAAAAAATATAATACATTATTATAAGAATATTTTTTTCTTTAATTATCTATTTATCATAATATTCAAAGTTTAATTTTTTTATTTTAAAACCACTTTTTACCAATCGAAAATACTGAAATGCGACCAATTTTACTTCAAGGACATGAACGTCCTCTAACTCAAGTAAAATTTAATGATGATGGCGATCTTCTTTTTTCTGTATCTAAAGTATCTTTTTTTAATTAATTTACTATGAAATTGATCCAAACTCTAGGATCATATTATTAATGTATGGTTTTCGCATAATGGAGAACGTCTTGGTACATATCATGGACATCAAGGCGCTATTTGGTCAGTCGATGTAAATTGTAAACACAATTTTTTCTAAATACATCAAATTAAATAGAGTAATAGCTACATCAACACTTATGGCAAGCGGATCTGCAGATAATACAATCATGCTATGGGACGTAAAAACGGGAAAATCTCTTAAAGTTTGGAAATTTCCTACAGCAGTAAAAAGAGTTGAATTTAACGAAGACAACTCTTTACTTTTAGGTGTTACAGAGCAAAGGATGGGTCACATAGGATCATTAGTTGTGTTTTCCATTATAAATGATGTAGATGCAGAACGTAAAATACTAGAATATTTTTTGCAAAATTTTGAATTCCTACAGAAGCTAATGCACCTATATATACAATACTTACACAAGATTCCAAAGCCACTGTCGCAGGATGGTCTTATCTAAGCAATTATATAATTACAGGGCATGAAAATGGATCTGTATCTTGTTACGATGCAAAAGTAATTTCAATAAATTCTATGCTATTAAATACATTAATAAAAGTATACAGGCAGGAAAGCATATAAAGACAGAACAAATACATGAAAAAGGACAACCAGTAACAGATCTTCAATTTTCTCCCGACAGGACATACTTTATTACATCTTCAAAAGATAAAACAGCAAAAGTATTTGATTATTAAACATATGGCTTTTCTAATTAATAAAGATTTGTGATGTTGAATCACTCAAAGTACTTAAAACATATATAACAGATACTCCTTTAAATACAGCGGCTATTACTCCTATTAAAAATTTTGTATTTCTTTTTATTTCTTTATTTCACCTAATACAATATAGGTAATACTCGGAGGTGGCCAAGAAGCTCGTGATGTAACAACAACTTCCCAACGTCAAGGGAAATTTGAAGCTAAATTTTTTCATAAAATATTTGAAGAAGAAATAGGGAGAATTAAAGGCCATTTTGGTCCACTAAATACAATTGCTGTTCATCCTAAGGGTATTGCATATGCTAGTGGAAGTGAAGACGGATATACCAGAATACATCATTTTCCACAGAATTATTTTGATTTTGAATACAATCTTTAAAAAATTAGATTAACAAATTCATTTATTATAATAAATTTCAAATATGCACTATGAATACTTAAAATGTATTTAATTATACGGTACTTTTTAATTTATCATCAATAAATCACATTCAATAACATTAAATATTTAAAACATAAAAACTATATCCTAATATATTAATTTATTTTTAAAAAAATATAATAACTAATAATTAAACATTTTATTATGTCTAGATCAATGATGCATTACCATAAAATTAGATAACTAAAGTATAGAATTACTTAATAAATAATATTATAAAAGCACCGTTTCTATATATACAAATATACATATAAATATGCATCAATATTATATTTAAACAACAATATCACTTTTTTTCTGGAAACTTGGATTCTGGATAAAATTTTCCAAAAAAAGAATCTACAGCAACTTCAACAGGATGATCAAACAAAAAAGGCAAAGCTTATATAACTTAGTTAATAGAAAAATAATAAAAAGAATCTACCAGGCATAATACTTAAGCCAGCTACTACAGGGCCCCACACACGAATTCTTCTGTTTTTAGCATTTTGAAATACATATCTTCCAGAATATTTAACAATAGAGTGAATAGTAAACGCAGGTAATCCCATACTAGCAATCCCTTGAAATACGCTTCGTTTTATCATTGCTCTTCCAACATGCTCACTGTTTTCCTTATTAATATATTTTACCTTATAACCTTCATAGGTAACATCTCCAATAATATATAACCAAGAAATTCCATATGCAGCTCGAACAGAATGAGGATGAGCAATAGGGCGAAAAGCTTCACCAGCATCAGATATATAAGCAAGATATCGTGAAGTTGCTATAAGAAGATTTTTAAATCTCCCAACATACCCAAAATACCGAGCATTTGAATTAATAGTATCTATCTCTCCATTAATAACATCTGTTATAATTGAATCAGATTCCTTAATAAAATCAGATTCTTTTTCAGTTACTGGGCAACTTTTAGAGTTTAAACTCATATTTTTTTATAATATAATTTAAATTTTTTATATTAAATAATGTTACATTTTTCAATTGAACGCTTTTAAAAATAATATTAAAAACAAAAATATTTAAAAACCAAGCAAGAAGCAAACAATTTAATTAAAAAACAATTATATATTTATTATAAACAATTTATTGATTTCGAACTAAAACTATTAGATAAGTAATTTTAAAAAAATACAAAATTTATAAAAAGATTATATATTTTTTTTTTTTAAAAAATAAAATATCAAAAGATTTTATAACATTGTGCCAAAATTATACCTATTAAAGATTATTTTTCATATTTTTTTAGTGGAAAATATATAAAGTATTTAAAACTATAAAATATTTAAATTTACAATAAATTATAAAAATATAACAAATTAAAAAAAAAAATCTAAATAAATATTATAATTTTAGAAATATTAATACATTTCAATTATATTCATATTTGATATTTTAAGACATAATAAAACTTATTTTAAAAGTCTATATATTATACAAAATGAATTAAAAAAAATAATATTAATAAAATAAAATAAAAGAATTTGAAAATATAGAAACAAATATAATATATTTTTTATGAAACATATTCAAATTATTTCAAACTATGTAAAAATCGATTATTATCTGAAAATTTCAGTGATGAAACATGATAAAAATATAATTTCAAAAAATATTAAAATATTATATTTATTTCTCAAACAAAATAATTTTTGATAATTACTAAAATACCAATAGAATAGAAACTAGCCATTAAAATATTATTAAAAATTTAGTTTTTTTGTCTATAAGCATCTGCAAAAATAATTACTAAAAAATTAAAAAAATAAATATAATATATGTTAATAATTTAAACCGAAGAACAATTATATAAAGAATTGTTTATAAATTTTCTATATGTACAAAATATATTATCAATAATATATCAAAAAAGTCATAAAACTAGTAATTCTTATATACTTAAAACGTTTTAATATTATAAAATTAACTATATATCAAATATACAAAAATTATTTCTCTGATGCTATTGATATTTTATCAAAATATTAATATATAATTAAACGGATAATATACAATTACTAAAAATGATCTATCAAAAATAAGATAGTTATTGAAATGCTTTAAATGCATATATAATTAATTATTTTAATCAAAATTTATAACTTTGAAGGAAATTTATAATCCATTGTTTTTCAAATTCATTAAAAATTATCATACATTTAGACTATATTCTCTTTTATGGAAAATATAACTCTATTTCTGAAACTTTAACATTTTTTTATACTAATATTTTATATTAGTACCAAAATCCAATTAATTACACTTTTAAAACATTAAAAAAATCAAGAAAATATTTTTAAATATTAGGGTATTTAAAATATTATATTTTGAATGACAGAAGAAACCGTAATATATTATATATATAATTTATTTTATTTTCTTTAACTATGTTAGATATCCCCTTTTAAGTTTATTGTTAAATATAAGCATGAAGATAAAAAAATACGTAAACTTCATTCTAAATCATTTAAAACACTAGTCAAAAGCGAATCAAACACAGATTGCATATCAAAAGATCTTAAGAAATTAAAATTTCTGTCTGTTCACAATACTCCTTTAATTCATAAAAAATCAGAAAACTTAAATAAATTTCTACATATTCAAAAATTTAAAAATAACGGATCTTTACTATGCAACAAAGAGGAATCAAAACAAAATAATAGCACTATCAAGCGACAAAGAATCATATACGATGATAATATTCAATTTGATGATAAAGAATTTCCTATTATTTCTACCAACGCCAATAACAATTATATTAAAGAAAAAATAAAAAAACCATTTATAACATACAATTCAAACAAAATCGTAGAAAAATGCACAAATTATAATTTTTTATCATACATTTTTTCAAATTTTAAACCAAATGTAAATACTAAACCAGCATGTTTATTCGCAAAGACACTTATGTCATCTTCATCTAATAATACAACAAACAAAGAAAATTCTCTTTTATTAGACTGGTCTCCATCAAAGAAAAAGAATACACCGTTTTTAGAGAAAGGTCTTGCAAAAACAGTATTAGACTGGATAATAGAATACCAATTGCAAAATACATTGCATAATTATTCTAATACTAAAATAAAAGAATATACATTTGTAATTACAGAAACAAAAAAGGATACAAATATGAATAATATATATTTTTATGGCTATGAAGAATCTGCAAAGATAATCGAAATATTATTTCTTTTAACAGAAAAATACTTGGAACAAAATAAAATAAATGAAGGGACACTGTTATTACTACACGAACCAATAACTAGATTTCAAAACATTTTTCCTCAAAACATTATAATATGTATCAATTGGAATCATAAAAATTAAAATAAATCACAATTCTAAGGGTTTAGACTATAATATTATTAATAATTAAGTTTCTAACCAACATAAACTTTATACATAAGATCATACAACTAATTTCTAAAAAAAATACAAAAATCGTAACATATCTTAAAACATTAATAGACATTGTTTTTTAATTATACACAATATATATTATAGGAATGACCTTTTAATGCCTTTTGTTTACTAAGTATTTGCACAAGCAATTAGCATAATACCAATTTATACAGCAATTGTATTAGCCTGAAATAGCTTTAATAGAACATTTTTTCGTTTTTCATTCACAACTTCTTTATTTAATAATTTGGAATTAATAGTCTTTATATTCTAGTAATACATTAGTAAGTATTAGCACCCAGAAAAACATTAATAACCTTTGCAATTGGCTTATTATAATTCACTGCCCTAGAAGCTAGTTTTGAAGTAATAACATTTGTATTTAAAATCTCTCCTAAAGGATTTTCCTTATTTTCAAGTTGAAATTTATTGTCACTAAATAAACTGTGCTTTTTTTGAGAAATAGGTCCATTAGAAAACAATTTTATTAATTTCCCTTTAGCATTAAACATCAAAGATGAAGAAGACTCTTTTAACACACATCTACTAGATGTCCTATCAACAACATCTGTAAGGCAACTAAATCTTCTTTCCATATCATTATCAATTAATTCATCTTTAAATATTTCTGAATTTTCATCCTCTACAAAAGATAAAGATTCCTAGAACAATGTAAACTTAATAAATAAACATATAAAAAATTACTTTTTCTAAATATTTACTAGAATACAATGTTTCAGATTCAAACGTATTTTTCACAATATTATTATCAATATTCAAAGTAGTATTAGAAAAAGTTAAACTCGTAGCATCATTTATATTTTCTTGTGCTTTAAAAGACTCATTATCAATGAAATCTATGGAAAACCTTGTATCTTCCTGATTATCTTCTATCGTAGTTAGAAATGCCTTCATTTTAGGATTATCAGCTGTATAAAATTAAAAAATAGAAATGAAAATATAAAATTACCCATAAAAGAAAGATTTTGATTATCCAAGAGTTTTTGTTTTATAATACAAGCCCTTTTATTGCGTCTTTTAAGTGTTTCTTCTTCATCGTCTAAATCATTCAAATCAAAAAACATACCACGCCTTTTTCTCAAATTGCCCATTGTTATGTCATTAAGCAAATTACTAATAATCTTAGAATCATCATCCATTTCTTTTTTCCTAGATTGAGTTAAAACAAATTGACAAAAAAAAAAAAATACATATAATATGCTGCTATATCAGTTGAATCTATATCCTGAAGAGAAATTGTATTGTCAATAATATCCTCAATTTCCTTATTATCTAAATCATCATTATCATCATCACTTGCTCCTCCCAAACCCGCATATTCATCATCAGATTCTTGGGCTTGATCTTCAATAAAGTCTTCAGGTTTACATATAAAATGTTTATTATCAACTTCATAGCTATATTTAGAAGTCGTATCAGAATGAAGAATATTGTTATTATTACTTGCAATATCATTGTAATTTTCATCTTCTGAATTTCTCAAAACAAGACTCTTTTTCCTTTTTAAATCCCCTTGAATTAAAACACCTGAAGATAATTCTGCACTTGCACCAGAGTTGAGTGCATCATCCAAATGAGGATATCTAGAAGATAGAGGAAAATTATCAAAAACTATATCCGAAGATGGAAGATCAGATATAGATAATTGTGCATTTTGAAATTCCCTAAAAATAATTATATAAAATTAAAAAACGTAAATAATACTTTTCGACTTTCTCAAAATTATCGTCAAAAGAACATGACGACTTACAATTAGCATTATTTAAATCATCTGGTATTTTTAAATTAACATTCGTATTCATCTATCAAATGTATTTTAAGTATATTTCTAAAATAAAATACACATACTTGAAATAACTCAAAAGGTATTTTATTAGACATAAAGCCCACATCCGAAGCACTATTTTCTACTTTATCAACAGCATTATTTTTCAATTGAAGATCACTATTAATATTCTTAGTAGATAAAATAGAAGAAACCTGAGAAAGATTAAGGGTATCATCAACACAATCCTTTAGGCATTTAGCATTATCAATGTCATTATATTCATCATCCTCCATTATAATTCTACAGTTATTATTTCGAAGAGTTCTTGATTTAATAATAGCATCTTCCATCTCATCTGGTATATATCGAATTCCTTTTGATTTTGTATTCAATGAATCTAAATGATAGACTTCATCAGAAGCATACATCCCACTAACATCTCTAATATCCTCCAAATTAAGATCATTATTCTACACAATATTAAAAAAATTAACAATGAATTTTAAACAAACTTTATCGTCATTATCACTACAAGTAATCCCATTACCACTATTACTATAAATATCTTCATTATCGTTTTCTGAATTATAGTCAATTGTTTCATTACTTCCTTCACTGCTCTGAACATCACTTATTTCCTCATCCCATACATCAGTACAATTACTATTATCATCATTGTAGATCCTATTCTCCTTTTTTCTGATCACCTCTGCTTCTAATCTCGCCTTTTCTACCAAGTCTTCTGCTTGAACAATCTCTTTTGCCCTTTCCTCAAAAGTTGATGTAATGCCTTTTTGCTTATACTCCTCTTCATGCTCAAGACGCTCAGACTTAACTTGCTCAGCAACCTTCATTAATAATTCACGATCAAACAAATTATTTTTAATTCGATTATGTTGACTCGGCGAGCTAAGCCTAGCTAATTCAGAATAAGAAACAGAAGTATTTCCAAAACGTGAAAACAGTTTAGGATTATCCTTATGAATTTTTGAATCATAAACTAAACATTCAACTTCTAATTCAGAGTCGGAAGTATTTTCAGAAACAGGTGTTTTAAATATAATTTTTTTCTGATTTTTATAATTAACAGGATTAATTTGTTTAGAAGTTAAACAGGATCTTCCAGTTTTTGAAAATTTTTCTTTAATATCTGGTTTTTCGAAATTTGACAAAAGTTGTGCCTGATCTTTAGGTGAAATATCAGAAGAATTATTATTTTGAAGATATAGATTATTATCTATAAATGAAATATTTGACTCAGTAGTATAAATCGTGTCAGAATTTTCATCAGAAATTCTTTTATCTAAGAGTGATTCTTGAGAAACATTAAGACCATAACCCACGTTTCTTAAGAAACTCAAAATAGATGTTTTTTTATCAGTCCTTATCTCGGGAGCCAGTGCCATATCTTACTCTTCTATTAAAAACAGGAATAAAACGAAAGTAAAAAAACCCAATACCTCTATTCATTCTTTCTGTTTCTTTTCGCATTCCTTCTATACCTTTTTTAGTAGCAACCTGATAAAAATCAACAAAATGAAATATTTTTAAATTAAATACTTTTTTTAAAATTCCAGTCTTAACTGGGAAATAATCCTTTTCAGATTTAGAAGAATGATCCAATGATATATCATCAAAAGACAGATTTACTTTTTGCATTTCTAAACGTGTACATTTTTCTGGACTTAACTGTGATAAACACATTTTTTCTTTTAATTCCAAACACTTAGATTTCGCATTATTAGAAAACTCATATTCATTAGAGTCAGATGTTGTTTTTTCAAATGATTCTAAAAACAAAGGTATATCCAATATATTTGATGCATCCCTGTTTAAATATTTTTGACAATAGTCTTCTCTTTTTTTTTTCTTACAAAAGTATCCATTTATATTATGATGATTTTTATCATTTTTAATAATGTTTTTATTAACAAGCATATTTTTTACTCGTTCATAAGCACTATCTTTTGTAGAGACAACACCTAATGACAAATTCTCATTTAAATAAGTATCATGATTTTTTCCAGAAACATCAACATATTTTCCAACATCAATAAATTGCTTAGGACTATTTGACAAAGAACTATCATGTTTACTATCGTATAGTTCAGATTTATCCATATCAAATTCTGCTAACATAGCTTTAACTTTAGATCGAGGAGTAAACCCAACATTAAAACAGGATCTAGGACTTGAAGGAGACGAGCAGAATGAACTTAATGAATCAGATATTTCGCTTTCATTTTGTTCTGTAAAATTCATAGTATTATCAGTATCATTTAAAGCTTGAGATTTCTTATAAGTTTTTCGCAGAGAAGCCCAATTATAAGACCCAAAACCATCCATTCTTTCCCCCAAAAGTCTAATGAAGTATTATTTACTAGTAAATACTTATTTTCTTAATATTTACTTTTATGTATCTGAAAATAATTTCGAAACGCGCTCAAAGTGATAAAATTATATATGAAATATCAAAAAAATATAATTATAAAAGTACAATTTATCAATATATTAAACAAACATAATAAAAATTCATTCATGAAAATTAGATAAATAAATGCTTATAAACAATATATATATTATCTGCGGTTATTTGTCATAGATCTATTGTTTGCCTGAGCTGCAAACATCATTTTAAAACCATTACACAAGGTATTCATATCTCCATAAAGATTTCCTTTCAAAGAAAAAGCATTAGGAACAACTTTTACTGACTGTAAAAAATTAACCAAAGTTCATATCTAAAATTTTTATAAACTTTACCCAACTAACAACTTTAGATTTCAAATTAGCCTTAAAACAAAGATCAAAAAAACCAGGATATTTAGGATTAAAACAAAACGCATAGCAAGACCTTCTTGGATTGGCTTCTGAATATCTATTAAGCCATTGTTCTAGAACTATAGTTAATAAATTGAAAAAGATCAATATTCGTATACCCGTTTCTGCCCTAGTACCTTTTTGAAATTTTTCATTTGTAGTTATTTCGTCAACTTTTCGAGCAATTGACTTAATATGTGAAACTATAAGCTCATCCAAATCACTATAAGAATAATTTTGTTCTTTTCCACGTATACGTAACTGACGACCTACAGAAAATTCATTTTCTTTATCTAATTCGAGAACATCTATTTAAAGTCAAAACTGAATCTTAAAAAAAAAATATTAAATATAAAATACCGATATGTTGGTAAATCCCTTCCGAAACTTTCCATGTTATAGCAATATGATCAGGTCCACTTGATGATGGACGAATTACTACATCACCGCGTTGCATACCAGCCAAATAATCCTCAGCTTGTCGAGCATTAAATGGTCTAAAGAGAGGATGTTTAATAACCCTAGTTATTCGCTGTTCTGCTTCCCTTCTTAGTGCAATTTTAGACTTATCTTTTTCTTCAGCAATACTATCCCATTTAAATTTTCTATTCAAAGAACTGTCTTTTTGATTCTTATATGCATCTTTAATAGATGAAGCTTTTGTTGATAACTCTGCAGTAAATTTCTGAAGATTTAAAGACAAAACGACTGCCTGAACAGTATGCCCATATTGCAAAACTTGCGAAGGTAAAAGATTATAATTATCAGTTACTTGTGAACTGGCAATATTTCCATCTATTCCACAATTTAATCTCACAGTAACATGTTTACTTCCAATTTTTTTAACAGTAACAGGGATAACAGAACCAGGCCTCAATGATTCTGGAGTTTCCCCAGTCAACATAGTAAAAATTTCTTGATCAGTGATATCCTTATAATCTTTACGAAGTTCTTCATAAGGATTTTGAAGCTCATCTCTAATAGTCTCAAGAGTATTCCTTTTTAATTGTTGAAAAGCCTTTTCTAGCTGCTCAGCATATTCTTCCAATACAAGATCACTAAGTTTATCTGGATCATCATTCATAAGATATGCTACAACTCCTCCACTAGAATCATATTCTTCAACATCTTCCTCATCTAATTCTAAAGCATCTGCAGCCATTTTTCTAGCCAATTCGTAATCTTCTGGATGTACTCTTGTACTATCCAAAATCTCACTAGAATCAGATATTGAATTATCATCATACGGTATTTTAAAAAAACTAGCACAATTTATAAAAATATTTTTTGTTAAAATAGATTTTGTAATAAATTCAGCACGATTCGAAATATATCCACCAACAGCAGAAATACGTTTACACAAACTCTGAGCTTTACGAGGACCTAAACCACATACATATGGTAAAAGATTTAATTTATATGAAGATTTAACAACATCATTTATATCAACGCCTACTAAATTTACGATATCTACGATTGCAGTTTCCAAAACTCTTTGTAATTTATCTTGTGGGATCTATTTATTTTATTATTATTCAAAACTCTAAAATAGTCTACTTACAAGATGCTGCCATGGATGAAAGGATATAGATGTAATGTCACTTCCCATTGCCGCATATTCCATAAGTGGGCTCTGCATATATCTAGCGAGAGATACACAATATTTACCCAATGAAGATAATTTAGGGAATTCCTTATTAGCTCTTTTGCTATTTTGATAAAGTCTAGCAACATCATCATTAACATATACAACTCTTATATGGTTGCTATTATCATTTTGTTCTATATTAATATTATCAACAAGATCTTTTAAACTTTTACGAAGAAACTCGACAGAAATACTGAATCCAGATACACCAATAACATCTGGATTTCGACGTTTTATAAAATCAGATAATTCCTTTTTGGAATTCTCTTCATGTATATCAGAGATTCTAATATGTTCTAATACTTTTCCATCTTCATCGACAAATACACATGAAGTATCATCTTTTGTAGCATCACCTCTGCCATTAGAAACTGTTAATACACGCGGAACTTCCCCTTTATCTAGAGACTTTACAGGATATGGTGTACGATCAAGTTTATCCAAAAATTTTTTTCTACAAAAAAAAGCAAGAGCATCTTCGCAATCACTTTTTAGATTCTCCTTAATTGTCTTCTCAATGATTGGTGTGATCTTATCAAATAAATCAGTTAATATTAATTTCCGTTGATCATTCCAAGCAGATGCTATTTCACTAACATTATCAGAAGTCAATAGTTCAAACATCTCATAAAATAAATTATCATATTCATCCAAGCGAATTTTAATCTTAATCAAATCCTGATCTTCTGCATTGATCATTTGAAGATAAAATTCAGGATTATGAGTCATATTTTCCATAGAAATATGACGAGCATACTTGAAAAAATAAAAAGGATGATCATTATCTATTTTTCTAATGCCTTTTTCAGTTGGTTCGACATCAATATAGCCCTTCTTAAGGTAAATTGTTCTAATCGCCTTTCTAACCTGAGGATCATTAAACAATTCATCAACTACAAGCCTTCTTGCCACTAATATTCTAATTAGAAAAAATCAATAACAAAAATTGCAGATACTAGCCAAAGCAACAGTAACGGAGGAATAACTAGAATTTAAAATATATTTCTCTGCTAAAGTCTCAGGCCATGTATCAGAGTCCTCAGGAAAATATCTTTTAGTATTTTCCAAAAAATTTTTTCCAATATGTTCAGGAGGTAATCCAAAAGCCTAAAAAAATAATCAACATTTATTCCTTAGAAATACAAATACGTACTCTAACAAGATTATAAAAATCTTCTTTTCTTATTTTAGAATAAAAAGAATATTTATTCGAAGGTCTCTTAAAAGTAAATCCTTGAGCTATATTCATATCTTTTATATTTTCAGAATATCGAAAATATATATAATCATGAAGATCTGTAATTTCTTCAAGAGATTCAACTTTATCAATATATTCCTCAAATAGCTTATCATTGATATTAAAATTCTTGAAAGTTTCAAAAAGAAAATTTCGTTTTTCAACAAGTGAACGAAACTTAACATCGAGATCAAGAATTTTCCATAAATCACCCTGTCTTAACAAAGTATGAACTTTAGTTGTTTTCCTTTCATTGTCGCTCTTTTCTGAAAAAAGTAAATAATCTTTTCTGTTTTGCCAGATAAACGATGGTTCAAAAAAATCATTAATATAGAAATCAATAACATTTTTCACCGCTTTCCTAAAAGGTTTTTCAAGAGAAGAATCTATATCAGTACGCATAAGAAGCATACGATTCGAAACCCATTCATATTCTTTTAAAATATCATCATCAGAAAGCTGTAAATGATAATACGGAGCTCTCAAAATTTGTATGCGTTCCGGAATATCAGTAATTCTAACAATTTCATCCATATCAGTAAGCATACGTTCAACAATTTCACTATGCTCAAAAACATCATGCAAAGAAATGTCTTTTCTCTCATATTGCTCAGAATCTTCATTTTCAAGAGCATAAGCATAATCTCCACCATCCCCAAAAATCTCAAAAACCTGAGCATGCGCATCACTATCTATTCCAATACTTTTTGAATAAATTTCATCATGAAATGCCTTTTCATGTCGATTTTTTTTTTTATCATCTAAATCATCATCAAAATCATCATCCTCAATAAAATCGGCAAATTCATCAGAAAATCCACCAGATTTAACGTATGTCCTTTCATCCGCTTCACTTTCATCTTTATCAGAAAAAATGTCTGCCAAATCTTTAGACCTAAATTTTTCTTTTCTACGCTTTAATCTTTTAAATTTAGGCTCATCTCGCGCCATAAAAATCCCTGTATTCTCCATAACAAGATCCAAATCCTCCTCATCAAGCTCTTCACTATCCATATTCCTATCTTTATCATTTCCTCGTTTTTTTCTCTTATGTCGTATCTTTGTCACATCTTCTTCCTCCCCCTCCTCCTCTTCCTCCTCATCAACAATAAACCCCTCCCGAACCTTTAAAATTCATTAAAATAAATCATATAACAAAATCTATTGTTCTATAAAAACCTTTCTTTGTTCTTCTTCATCTTCTTCACTCGAACCTATATCCTCTTCAGAACTATCTTCTTCTTCTTCTTCTTCTTCCTCCTCCTCATTATTATCATTATCATCGTTGTTATCCTCTTCCTTCTCCCTCCAATCCTCATTCTGGTTCTCTTGATCCTCAGGATCTTTATACCCCATTGATAATCCTTATTTAAAGCTTCGACAATGTCGAATCAACACGAAGAAACAAAGATATATCTTTAAAAAAATAGTATTAAAATAAATAAAAATAGGATAAAAAGGAGGGTTATTATTAAAAAAAAGAGAGTATACTCATATTTATTTATTATAATATTAATGAAAAGCCTTTGAAAATAATAATAAGATTTTAAAAAAGTAAATAATTAGGAAAGAAAATAAAGCAAAAAAAACGCAAATAATTATAAAGGAAAAGAGACACTGGTGTATATATATGAATATAGAGAAATGAAAAATGGGCTTTTATCGAAAAAAAAGCAGCGAAATTTCA